CAGGAGGTTGTATCTATTGGATTCCATAATTCTGCACAGGGAGGAAGCGCTATGACAACCATGCCGGTACCCATTACATGGGAGACTCCATGGAACTCAAGAAAGCAACTGTACATTGAGCTAATTCCGAATTACGCGGAAGTTAATAATTAACTAACATCATGGAACTGAACCCTTCTTGAGAAGCCGTCAAATGTGCAGTTACTCAAGAACTTCCCAGCATTTTATGGAACCCGAGGTTTATTATCGTGTACACAAGAGCCCTCCACTTTTTCCTATACTATGCCAGATCGATGTCCGCATCTGTGGTCTAGTGGTAAGAGTTCCTGGCTACAGATCCAGCGGTCTGGGTTCGATTCCCGGCGCTACCAGATTTTTTCTTTGAGAAGTAGTGGGTCTGGAACTGGGTCCACTCAGCCTCGTGACGATAATTGAGGGGCTCTTTCAAGAAAATAGTGGCTCCGGTCTAGAAAATCGAAATGAACGGCCATGGTGATTTGTTGCGTTGACCACGCGACACCCTCTATCAGCAAAAGTGGACACTAAACTTCGCCGACAAGTGGCGGTCGCTCGGTCGGTATAATTCGTTTGGGCACTAAAATCTTGTAGTTTTATGCCAGATCGATCCAATCCATACCACCCCATTCTATCCTCTAAGATACATTTTAATGTTGTCCATTTACTTCTTGTTCTTCCTAGTGGTCTGTTTCGTTCTGGTTTTCCCAACAATATCCTATATGCATTTCTCTTCTCCTTCAGTCGTACTACATGCCCTACCCATCTCATCCCCCTTGATTTGATAATTCTGACCGTATTTGGTGAATAGTAGGAGATATGATGTTTCTCATTATGCTCTGGAAGTTAATAAAGAAATAAATTTGTATAGTTTTAAGAATAGTATACTATCAGTAAAACAGCAACAAATGTAAGATAAAATTATAGGCCGCTCCATAGCTCAAGCGGTTAATCGGTGGCTTCCCACCTCGGCGGCCCGGGTTCGATCCCAGGTCTCGTCAAGTGGGATTTGTGGTGGACAAAGTGGCGCTGGGACAGGTTTTCTCCGAGTACTTCGGTTTCCTCTGCCAATCTTCATTCCACCAATTGCTCCACAATCACCCTCACCTATCATCTGGGTCTGGTACAATAGGCCAGAAGTGGCCGCAGTGCAAGGGACTTAGTCCCACCCCACTAACATTTAAAAAAAAAAAGATAAAATTATATGATTTTGAGTTTGAGAATTTCTGGAACACACTGTATAGCGTAACTGTAAGAGATGTGGAGTGTCGTGGAGTGACTTATGGCTTCCTGTATCGACTTCAGCGGCAACGAGTTGGAGAACGTGGTGGAATGAGTGACAGAAGTAGAGCGACATCTTGTTCACTCGCGTGTAAAGTGAGAGTCGTTAGAACAATGAGCGGTCGAAGAGCGTCCAGTCTGTTGGCTGCAGAACTGGAGCTCGCCAAACAAGTCACAGGAAACCATTCTAGCAAACGTGGAGCCATTTTAGTTATAACAAAGGGTTATGAGGTTTATCACGTCTGACTTTCCGTCATTCTGCCTGTAGCATACATAATAGTATTAGAAACAAATGACACAATTTACTCTAAAATCATAACCCAGTATGTTCAAAATGTTTCTCACTACACAAATACTGATACCGCTATAATTAATGCTGTGTGAAATTCAATATAATTAAATTATAAACAAAAACAGATCTTCTAATAATATGTAGTAAGTTGAAATATTTAACTTCTTGCTCTATATGCCACTTGATCTATCTATGGTTCCACTATCCTTTTGTTGAACCTTGGCCGCTTTTTCATTTTCTGAATCATATACACAGTCTGTAGGACTCTTTTGACGGGGGATCAGTCCATCGCAAGGCTTCTACCTACACACAGAACAACACAAACAGAATAAACGCACACAGACCTCCATGCCCCAAGTAGGATACGAACTCACGATCCCAGTGTTCGAGTGGGTGAAGACGGTTCGTGCCTTAGCCTGCGCGGCCACAGTGACCAGTGTACACCACTTAGGGAATTCCAAATAATAATAATAATAATAATAATAATAATAATAATAATAAGTTAATTACCTAATTAAAATCAACTACAAAGATACATGAATCTTGAACTGCGCTTCCTGTTCACATTTCAGGCATCAGGAATATACAGAATATGAGGCAAGTGGAGTGGGACTAAGTCCCTTGTACTGCGGCCAATTCTGGCCTATTGTACCAGCCCCGGATGACAGGTGAGGGTGATTGTGGGGCAATTGGTGGAATGAAGATTGGCAGGGGAAACCCAAGTACTAGGAGAAAACCAGCCCCAGCGCCACTTTGTCCACCACAAGTCCCACTTGACCAGACCCGGGATCGAACACGGGCCGCCGCGGCGGGAAGCCAGCGACTAACCGCTTGAGCTATGGCGCGGCCGCGAGGTTATACTTGATTTTGTTCTGTAAGAAACAATAACTGCTATAATATTGTAATGACAAGAAATCAAGGAAACAAACTATTCAGCTGATACTCAAATTTGAGTTTCCTCGTTGTTTACTAGAATCTCTCCGTTTCAAATACAGTGATCCTACCTTCAAACTGGCGAAGATCTCCCACTTGCCAACATACCGAATTTTGTATATTAGGTTATCCACAGATTAGAATTATCGATACACCACTATCTTCGTATGTGATATGATACGTATACTTAATTCGCTTTAGATAAATTAAACGGAAGTGTTTGAGTCTCACTGGAATTCCGGAAGTCTCGCTTAAGTTTCGTGTCCAGTGGTGAATTACTGCGACTAGGTTCATATTCCTTCAAATTCAGTAAATGGAACTACCATATTAGACTGAATATAACTAACTGAACTAACTTCATGAAGCTGAGCCCTTCTTGAGAAGCCGCCAATTCTGCAGCTACTCAAGAAATTCCCAGCATTTTATGGAACCCGAAGGTTCATTACCGTGTCCAAAAGAGCCCTCCACTGGTCCCTATCCTGAGCCAGACCAATACAGTCCATCCCAACCCATCCTATTTCTCTAAAATCCATTTTGATATTATCCACCGACTTATGTGTTGTTCTTCCTAGTGGTCTCTTTCCTTGTGGATATCTCATCAATATACTATATGCATTCTTCTTTTCTCTTATGCGTTCTGCTTGCCCTGCCCATCTTATCCTATTGACTTTATCATTTTAATTATACATGACGAAGAATACAAGTTATGAAACTCCTCATTATGCAGTTAAGCCCGAATATAAGGTCATTTTTTGTTTCAAATACTGCTTTAAAAAATTGAGGTTGCTTTAGTTTCGGCTCCTTAAAATTAAGTTTGAAGAAGATTTTATCAGATATAATTACTAATTCTATTTTTGAAAATTTATAGAAATATATTTAAAATATTACATTTTGAACGTATTATTTCGTAATATCATAGTTTTTACTTTCTTATACTTACAACGGCCATATGTAAATGGTATATACAATTTTGCCCCCCAAAAATCAGATTCTTTTGTTCACTTGAAAAAGAGGGCGTCACATTGAAGAGGGCGCCGCCTTACACTCAAGCCTATACAGTCCCTTCATGCTTCATTACCCGGAGGCAGTCTCTAGGTCTCTAAGGCTCTGTGTACCCGACTGATTGGGACTGCACGTCCGTTATTATGCATAATTGATTCTTGGTTTATTTAACTACGCTTTTTCGAATGAAAAAATGACGTAATGCCGAAGGGAGCGACATGTTAGACAGACCTTGACCCATTTTAAGATAGGCCCTAAAATCATGATATTTATTTCAAAGCATCGATGAAATCGACAGAACTGTTTAGAGGGAATGAATATATTTCGTTTGGGGGGGGGGATTTGAAACGGACCATCAGATTATGAAATGTGAATGTTAGCAACTCACCACTGACTATTTCTATTTTTGTGTGTGTCTGTGGACTGTAGATAAGTAACAGACAAAATAATTAATTAATAATTTAGTTAAATAATAGGATGAAGTTTACTAAATTATTTCAGAATTTATGTAAGATTCAAATTTATCACAATTATTTTGTGGAATCTTTTTAGGGTCACTGATTAGCCGTTGGGGTCTTAGAAACACCGTTACAGTAACGGCGTCATACGAAAAACACACACGCATTCACGCGCATGAGCACACGCACACACCCAAACACAAGCAGCGTACGTATTATAGGCCTATGTGCATTTCTCTGGATAAAGAAATTGTCTTTTTTTAACACAGCTGCAGCCTCGTGTTAATGTCCATATCTGGAAATGAAGGAGTAGACGTTTAGTATAGAAACCGATGCTACCATTTTAAGATAGCTGTTTCGAGTGGTTCTTCATGTTACTATGATCCTCCGCTAGATGGCAGGCTCTATTGAGGAGCCAGACCGTCTTTGAATGCTAAAGTGATGTTATCAACACAGGACCCCGAAAGACTTGCGTTGATGTGTTCAGTGACTTCCGAGAATGATAAGATTATGGGATATGTTCGCTGAATACAGCTCTCCGATACCAAGGACCAGATTTCGACGTCCTATTCACCCATATGAGCTTGATGTGGACAAAGAACAGCTTTATCTCACATATAGCACGTATTTGAGGGGGGACTTAATCGAACCTTTATTTTAAATTTATTATCTGGAATATGTTCGTAGATTTTTACCTCTCTAGAAAATTCCAGGGATAGAAAAAGTGGACACAGCTGGTTTCTTCCTATCTCTAACAGTTCATAATATATATCTACTTCAGTTTTATTTACTGGTTGGAATATAACCATCCTCCAGATACAGGGAAACACTTAGATGGTAACGAATTTCACCGCCTTCTGTAAAATTCGAAAACTCGTTATTACGTGCGCGTACCCACTATTGTTCCCTATCCTAAGCCATGTAAGTCGAGCTCATAAATTTCGATATATTAATTTACAATTGGTTTTAACACTAAAGACTAATTTATTCTAAATGATATGTATGAATTTGTTTCGTACCTCATAGGAAACTCATCACGTCTTGCTACAAAGATCAGACAGGTCAGTGCTGTGTAAGAGAACCACAAAAAAAACACATAATTACAATCTGTGAACAAAATGAATTTTAGCATATTGAATCATGTGGTACGTATTGTAAACACTGGGCTTTAAATGCAACCCAAACTATCGCTTTCCTTCTAGTTTCTCAACTAAAATATTTTATTCTAAACGGTTCTGACGATAATGTACAACACAAGGGATTACTGAGTTTTTGGACTTTGTCCGTCGTCCGGAAATTGGGTCTCTTTCCGTTCTCAGGTGAAGGGCTTAAGGTTAGTTCTTTCTAACGGAATCATGACAATAGGTGGAAACTCTTACCCTTTTACCTGAAGATGGAAACAGATACGTTTTCCGAAAACACAGAGAGATGGACACATTGAAAAAACTGTTGTTTCTTTTTTCCTTGGCACTACAGCCCCAGTGGGCCTAGGCCTACCTCCATGAACTTCTCCGTTCACTTCGGTTTTTCCAGATCTTACACATTCGGTAGGACTCCTTAGGCGGGTGATCAGCTCGTCGCAAGGCCTCTACCTGTACACAAACACAGAAAAACGCACGCACACAAACTAAACATTCATTCCCTGAGTAGGATTCGAACCCACGATCCCGGTTTGCAAGCGAGCGAAGACAGTACATGCCTTAGACCGCTTGGCTACCGTGACCGGCATAAAAAACTGTAATCACTATTATTTCTTACATAACCCTGATCTCCATTTAAATAAATTTGATTTTATCCCCCTAAACTACCTAACTGCACGGAGCTGAGGCATCTTCAGAAGGTACCAGTTGTGCAGCTGCTCAAAAATCTCACAAAATTTTATGGAACCCGAAAGTTCATTACCATGTTCATAAGGGCCCTCCACTGCTCCCTATTCTGAGCCCGATCAATCCAGTTCATAACACGCCATCATATTTCTCTAAGATCCGATTTAATATTATCCACCAAACACTGATACCAATTATTTTTCTATCAGTACAGATTTACAGATGTTTAAGTGTTGATTCCTAACTTGAATCATCAGAGTTTTGTGATTTGACTGGAGACTGCGAAGTAGATGCTGAGTTACTAGTTACGTGGTTTAAATGAAATATAAATAAAAGAAAATAAATTTGGAACCACAAATTTTAATTAAATTGAAAATAAAGAAATAATTAGAATGGTCAAGTCAAGGAGGATTAGGTGGACAGGGCATGTAGCACGAATGGGGAGACGAGGAATGCGTATAGGATATTGGCGGGAAAGCCAGAAGGAAAGAGACCACTGGGAAGACCAAGGTGTATGTGGGTGGACAATATTAAAATGGATCTTAGAGAGACAGAATGTGATGGTATGGATTGGATTGATCTGGATCAGGATAAGGACCGGTGGAGGGCTCTTGTGAACACGGTAATGAACCTTCGGGCTCCATAAAATGCTGGGAATTTCTTGAGTAGCTGCACAATTGGCGGCTCCTCCAGAAGGGCTCAGCTTCAAGAGTGAGTGAGTTTAAACAAAGAAATATTTACGAATTGTGTTAAGAGAGAACTTTTGAGATAAGAGTGTGCACATTTTAATTACATGAGATATCCTATCATGATGATGAGTCTGAAAATCACTTGTCAGTTCTTAGATGAACGGAAGTTTGGAATTACGAATTTCTTACTCGTGGGTCCCTTAACTGTTCCCTTCAGACTGCAGTTTAGTTGCTGCCTGAAATAGGGATGTCTCATTGGGAAACAGTAGCGCCAGTTTCCCATGCCTCATGAAATTTCTATAGTCCCTAGACTACGAATGCATAAATTTAACAGGCATTTAGAATATCTCTAATTAGAATTTGATTCATTTAGAGGTCGATAAATTTGTTTTTCTCGGATGCGATTACGAAGAGAATTATATTTTGCGATATAACGCCTTATAATCCAGTAGAAATTCATGGGCGTTTCGCAAAAATATGCTGCCTCCATCTTCAGGGTACGAGATATGCTAGGCAAGCAACTGGTAAGAAAGCCACCTTTAAACCTATTATTACAATATATCGATTGGCATTCCTGTCTGCATTACGGCAGATCCAATTTGTAATCTTGGCCGGGAGATAATCACTTCCGGTTTCAGTCTTGTAAAAGTCTCCAAAGGAAACCCCTGTCGTGCAGTAGACACATAATGGCTGCCACCCACGTCACTTCTGATTCACCGCTCATAATAGTTATATCATTCGTCTCTCTGTAGCCGAAGCAGCTCATATTTATAGTTGACAGCCGGGATAGCTCAGTCGATACAGCGACGGGGTAAGGTTTGAAGACAGGGTTCGGTTCCCGGCAGAAGCATGATTTGTCTGCGTAAAATCCAAACCAGCTCTGGGCCCCACCAACCTTTCTTCTCAGTGGATACCGGGAGCTGTTTCCCATGGGGCAAAGTGGCAGGAGCGTGATGGTGACCACTCATCTTCATCTAACGCCGAGGTGAAGAATTGTGGAACTATATTCCCACTCCCCGACATATATTTATGGCGTGCTGCTTAATTAAGCACAAGGACAAATTTGTCTTTACATTTAAGCACAATGTTAGTAATTCCAGCGATTGGATGATCGTGAATAAGAAATCTGAAAGTATGTGGAACGAATCGATTGTGTTATCACGATATTCATCTGGATGGACTGAGAAACACCACGAGAACTTTCAGTCAGAATAGCCTCAGAAGATTTACAGCGTGGGCCAAATTGCACGGCCCAACATGTCACTAAACAGACAAAAATATCAAATTTCAGTTCGTAATGTCATCAGTTCTCAGGTCTAGAAAACCGAGATTAACGGCCGTGAGGATTCGTTGCTCTAACCACGCGACACCCTCTATCCGCTGAATTTGGCACTAAATTCACCGACAAGCGGCGGTCGCTCGGTCGGTATATTTCGCTTGCGGACTACAGACCACGGAGTAAAAAAATGTCATCAGGTCAGGAAATATTTTCAGTTATATGAACTTTCAAAAAGAATTTTAAAAATATGCCAATAATATGTATTAAATGAAGAAAATATCGCTCTCAAACTGGAGGAAATACGTCATAAAATATAGCGTCCAATTTCATCTTACTCAGAGAGCTGACGAAGCGATAACGGTCTAGAGTTATATCCGTAATAAATGTGTTTCGATTCTCGGATATGTTACAACCTGTACTGGTTGAGGTCTTTCGTGAGTTTTCAATCTGTAGACAAGCAACAAAATAGCAATTTGAACAAACTGTGCATGTCCCATTCAATCACAAATTTATCAGAACCTACTGCATTGATTTTATTGTGATGTCCAGAATAAAAGGGAAGGAATACGCAGTAGCGGAATTGATTGAGGCACTGTGCTACAAGCAGGAAGGTCGCGGTAGCGAATCCCGATGAGGTGGACCCCGTTCCAGACCCACTACTTCTCAGAAAATCTGGTAGCGCCGGCAATTGAACCCGGACCTCTGCATCACTTCTCATCTCCATCCTATTTCTTCTAGAATTCTAAATCAGCCCAAATAACACCGTTTCAGTTATTACCTCGTAGTTTATGCTCTTGGAGTTTCGGTGTGGGAGTCACGTTTACAACACGAAACATTTTGTTTATGTCCCTTACGCGATACGGAACTTTCTAATCAGACGTCAGACTAAAGGTCAGACCTGAGCAGCTGTACCAGAAAGCTGTGTTTCCTCAGAAACGTACACAGAATCACGAGACGTGAAGTCTTCACGGCGGTGAATGTAAATATCACGAAGTCACGGAATTTAGTATATAGGTATAAAAGTTTCGCAAGACAATACTACCTCAATCTTCAGGGAGTGTAACGCAAGCACAAAATTCCTGTGAAACGTTAGTATCCATGAGGCACACCAGAAGAGAGGGCTACAATCTTCAGACCTACTAGTATAATTATCCTATTTCATTATTTGTAAAAAAAAAATCCAAAATATAGGCACCAAATTAGTGAGTCTAGGGGTAAAATTTTACACATGTATTCGGGAGATGCACATTTCGAATCTCGGCAGGGAAACTGGATATCAAGACTTAGGTTTTGGGTGGCTTTCCTCAGTTGTTCCAGATAACTGTGGGATAGTGCCTCAATTAGGCCAGGATCAATTCTTTCAAAGTCCTTCCAAATTCATCATTCATCTATCCTCCTAACTTTAGAAACTATTCATTTTGCTGCACTGAAAATACCTTAAAATAATACAGCAGAAGAAAAAAAAGCTTAGGCCTCTCAAGAAAATCGCCATCTTAACTGGAATTCTGATCAAAACGCTAAAACCAAGCACTGAACGAAACTTAATATGAGATGGGTATTTTCAAAATTATATATCGGAAAGCAAATTTGGATGACGATTACTGCTGCTTGATATCTTTTGGGGGGGGGGGGTCTGCAATTTCAATCTCGATCCAGAGACCATTTGTCGTGATGCAGAATTTTCGTATTTTTCCTCAAGCACTACGAGCAACCGCCTGGAGGGCCGCTCCATAGGTCAAGCGGTTAGTCGCTGGCTTCCCACCGTGGCGGCCCGGGTTCGATCCCGGGTCTGGTCAAGTGGGATTTGTGGTGGACAAAGTGGCGCTGGGGCGGGGTCTTTCCGAGTACTTCGTTTTCCCCTGCCACTCTTCATTCCACCAATTGCTCCACAATCACCTCACCTATCATCTGGGGCTGGTACAATATGCCAGAAGTGGCCGCAGTACAAGGGACTTAGTCCCACCCCAGTAGCAATAAAACAAACGCCTGGAGAATACAAAGAGTTATCTTCTTTCCCCTCCGTCTCGCCTTTCACCCTACCATTCGATGATTTGCAAGCAACAGAAACAGGCAAGGTCTTTAAGTACCACAAAACTATGTAAACAACAAGGATCTGCCCATCACAGAAATTATTTCGAGTCAGATGTGGGTTAAGCCGGTACGAATGTTCGGAAACCGGCCGTCCTTACCTACATTTAGGCTTCCAATTGTACCTATTTCCATCAGCACAACTCCTGTATACAATATATACGTCAATTATCTATTCTATGTTTCGACTTTTCGGTCATCATCACTCACTGTTGGCTGCACTGCTTCTGATGATGGCCGAAGGGCCGAAACATGTAGTAGCTAATTGATGTATAGGGTATCTGTACAGAAGCTGTGCTGACGGACGTTAAGTACAACTGGACATACAACACAACACGGCGCTGCGATAAATTACGATATATACAATATTAAAGTTGTTAGGTTCGCTAAATTTCTACGGGCGTTCTTGTGTACTATATCTCCTAAGGCTGGGGCCACACGAGCGCACAAATTGCGTCCGTTATAACGAACGTCGTGACGTCCGTTGTAGAAATAAACAAAAGAGGCAAATGCTACGCTTTCTTCTGGCTCCACTGCAGAGAAAAAACTACGCACCGCATTCTGCAACTGTGTGGTGTCCTCAGCAACGTCCGTCATAAAATACTTTCGTTGCAACGAACGTACTTCGTGCGCTCGTGTGGTCCCAGCCTAAGAGGCCATGACTGATAGATTTCGAAGTATTTATTATTCCTTATTAAAATTCTGTACTAACAACAGTATTATTATTATTATTATTATTATTGGTAGTAGTAGTAATAGTAGTAGTAGTAGTAGTAGTTGTTGTATCTATCCTCTTCTTTCAAGATCCTTCTGACCCAACATTCATATACATTAACATATCACATTCTGTACCATGCAACGTCTGCAGTTGATAAAGCTTCGTTTAATAAGAGAGACTTAAATCCTTCCCTATCAAATTATTATTTTTCACTCTTTCGTGTCATCGCTATAACATTTCAGGAATATATATATTTAATCGTTTCAAGAGTAGCAAAAACTTTGTAACATATTTGGAAAGAAGCAATTTCTCCAGTCGAAACCATATAAACAATTTGCAGTCTTTTCCATCCACAGCCATTTTAACCAGCTTTTCGAATTATAAGAGTCCGAACCAGAGAATAAATTACAGTTACTTAAGAAACTGAAAATAATGCAATTACTTTTGTACATATTAACGAAAAATTTTAATCATTCATTCTTCAACCAAAAACTACTGAAAATCATTGTTGGGCCGCGCCATAGCTGAAGTGGTTAGTCGCTGGCTTCCCATCGGGGTGGCCCGGGTTCGATCCCGTGGTCTGGCCAAGTGGGATTTGTGGTGGACAAATTGGCGCTGGGGGGGGGGTTCTCCGAGTACTTCGGTTTCCCCTGCAAAGCTTCATTCCACCAAATTCTCCTTCATCATAATCACCCGGGGGCAGGTATGGCTCCCGTATTGAACTGTGAATAAGTGAAAATTAGTGAAGATAGAGTGAACAGATTATTGTGTAAACCCGTAACAGTGTTATAAGTGATTGTGGTTACTATCTGTAGTTTATTAAATAAACCAATTAACAATCTGAACGGCGTCTTCAGTGGGAAAACACGTTACATTACAATAGGCCAATCAGTGGCCGCCGTGCCGAGTGGACACAGTTGGACTCCACCCCCCACTATGCGAATTTAAAAAAAAATACATGCATTGCTAATTAGTCCAACCAAAATACAGTCATTCCAATTTATTTTAAATAAACGTCCATAGGCAGCAATAATTATAATAACCACTTCAATAATTTATGATAAACTAATTCGTTACAACAAATAAAATAACCATAACTGACACAATAAAACAGCAATTATCCTAATCAAGCCAACAAAACATTAATTTTGCTGGAGAGTCCCACAAGCTAAATCCAACGTAAATATTTCAGCCGATTTCAATGAAGAATAATACGTAACCAAACCTGCGCGTTACACTCTCATTAGCCGGGTTAATTACAGTACAATTATTGAAATAATCGCCACCGAAATACTTTAAACCCCTTTCCATGAACTCTCCAGAATACAATGGGGTTAAAGAAGGAAAGAAACTGTAATCAGATTAATTTAACGATATTAAGACCACCAAATCTACATAAACCATGCCCTTAAATTTTACTTAAACCTGGCATGAACGTTCTACGAAGATGTACAAACATTTATCAAATCAAATTGAATGAAAACTGTAATATGAAATATTAAAATTTAAGTCATGTACATATAAACGAGATATATAAAATGTAGGTCACTTACACAAATCCTGTTCTATGCAGTTGTGTGTGAGATATTGATATGAAACCACTGACTCTTTACTGGAAACTGAGATCTTGGACAGGGAACGGCTCTGTCTCAATCGGTAGGTCCATGGAAGGCTTCGTTCCGAAATCTTAGAGGGTCCACCACATGACCTCTGTGAAGCGGCAAGCTGTAACAGCCGCACATTCGGCACCACTGCGATGGCTTGTGTGCGGCTGCCTGGACCGATCGAAACTGCACCCAGCAGTTGCTAGGCAACCGCAGAGACTGTGTCACCATCTCACACGTGTCATTGTTGTGAGGTATGTTTTCACGTGGCCTCTCTATAGGTTAGGATCAGCAGCAGTTCTGATTAGATTACATAAGAGTGGGGGGTGCACGTTAATTATTATTATTATTATGGGGGCATACGGTAGCGTAGTTAGTTGAGGCACTATGGTACAAGCCGGAAGGTCGAGTGTTCAAGTCCCGATGAGGTCATTGGATTTTTTCAATTGACCTAATCCTTCCAGCCGCACTATGGCCCTGGGGTTGACTCAGCCTCTAACAGAAATGAGTACCAGGAATATTCTTGGGGATAAAGGGCGGCCGGCGCCTAAGGCTGACAACTTTGCTGCCATCTATGAGCCGATTATCTAGAAAATGTGGGAACCTCAACATCTCAAACCCTATGGGCCTCCACGGCCTGTTACAGGGATACCTTTACGTACTTAATTATTAATATTATTTAACTGCAAAAGGGTTTTCACCCGTGGCAGTGGCACTACAATAAGACAACAGACAAATAACGCCCTTAAACACGTTCATACAAAATACAGCACACACACATTAGTAGAAAATTAACATAATGTATAATAAACTAACAGTAATGAATACGTAATGTCATGTTCTCATTTTCCCTTCATTTCGCTTTACTACTTAAACCACAACCTTATCCTATCTATCGCAAAGTTATGGGAACGGCCTGTTTATGTCAACGGCAAACTAAAACTATTCGTATAGTATAGTATTTTAAGTTCTCATGCCTGTGGTTATGAAGAGTTTTACCTTCAGATATATAATGTTTGCCACCTGCAACCCGTGTGGAGGAGGGGTCGAATACCTCCACCATGACCCTGCGAGTCGTAGGAGGCGACAAGAAGGGAAGTCTCAAATCTGAGACCCTAAAATATTTTTGAGAGTCCCAAATGACTCAGACCCGAGAAACACTGCTCTGGAAAGGGCTAGAAGCATATACAAAAGATAGATCCGTCCTCTCGTCAGAGAGGGCGCCCCATAAAAACAAGACCGTAACTGTAATAAATATCTGGTCATGAGTTCCAGATGGGACTTGACACCAAGACTTACTGACTGACTGACCGTCAGTCGCTATGTGACTTTGACTTTGCCACCTGCTGTCATGCTGGTTTCTTGTTCGACTTCTTCTTAAAACCTGAAGATGGAGGCGACATGTTCCTCCGAAATGTCGATTGACGTTCAACGGCCTACACAGCGTTATATCGCAGAAAATAATACTCTTAATTATTTTATATATTGTAGGTTATCTTTCAAGAGAAAAATTATTCCTTACCAAGAGGAAAGAACTGGCGAAGCTTAGAGATAAAAGCCAATGCTATTCATGTATAATTAGGCTAAAATTCCTTTCTTCATTAAAATCCACTTATTGGCACCGCATCAATAATGAAATAATTATCAAGAGAAAATAATTTGTAATTTATTCTATATATTGCATTAATACAACAATTTTATGCTCACCAAGTAATCATGTAGACCATATCTGAATAGCCTTGAAGGAAAAATTGAAATAAGTGCATACCCCGCTCTACATAGGCCTCCCGCTAAGATTCGTTTTCCAGTGGAGTTTGAAACCATATCTGATATATTCTCCTTTATTATTTAGCAGGTTCTAATCCCGAGGTGGCTAATGGTGTTAGGTATATATATATATATACACCATTTAGGGGCGACTATAAACGGGGTCTTTATTGATGAATAAATTTACTGGCCACTTACAAATCGTAACTACATATAAATATAACACTATTGGTGATTTCCATGCTACAAATCATTCCATGCTAAGTCTTCTCAGTCTTCTTTTAATAGTCGTTGCTTGGTAACGGCTCTCAACAATGGCTATTCCTCTGCAGTATTTTCACTAGACATTTCATGATAACAAATCTTAACAGTAACGATTTTTCAGTTTCCGTGGTCAAGCCGTTGTCCTTTGGTTAACACTTCAAAACTTAACTGTCAACTGAACTGTAGCAACAATTGTCTTCAAGGCAACTACTCGGCATTGACCATGCATTGTTGTAGAAGCATGTTTACTGCGTCATTGCGTAGCAACAATCGCGGAGCGGACTACAAAAACATCATTCTTCTATTGTTACTTGTATTTTGAGGGCGTTGCCTAACAAAATCCACCGTTTACAGAGTCACTGTTTAGCAAAGTATCTATACGCAACAATATTAATATAATCAGAAAATTTGGAAATTAACAGAATGCATGTACGGACAGAATTTACACATCCATACGTGGATGCATGACCTCAGATACGCCTTTAAGTGCATTGTTGCATATTCCCAATATGGACCATTCAAGTGTCCAGTAGAGTTATCCTGCTGGTTTTAGGTAAGAGGCCTCGACACGATTTTGCAGATATGATCTCTATGGATATCTTATAAGCGAATGTTTTGAATAGAAAATAAACCTCGCAGATCTTCACAGACTAAGTACAATTCTATGATAACACTAACCACACTTCACATATGCACATAAAAATATTACGAACTCACCAAAACCTTCACAGAAATAAAACACTGCTCGCTCATTCGTGACCTAATTTATAAATGACGTTAACCCCGTATCTTAACGCGTGACAAATCGTTGCTATGGTAACCCTAAATGTCCTAATTTCAGAGCTCTCCTCTCACAGTTACATTTCAATTATGTACGCATATATACATACATATATATATATATATATATATATATATATGGAGAAAGAGACAGCATATATATAGACAGAGAGAAACGCCGTTCATAATTGCCTCACGGTCTAAGGCATGAACTTTCTTCTCTCGCTCGAATGCTGGTATCGGGGGTTCGAATCCCACTCAAGTCATGGATGCCTGTGTGTATTTATTCTGTGTCTATGTTGTCATGTTTGTGGTCAGCGGTCTTGCGACGAGCTTATTACTCGTCTGAGAAATTCTGCAGTCTGTGTAGAACAGATTACGAAACTGAAGAACAGGTCAGAACCCAAGATGGATGTAGAGCCACTGATGAATGAATATAGAGAGAGACAGAAGGAGCAGGGAGAGAAGGAGGGGTATATATATGTGTGTCTTTCGTCTCACTTGGCTTTTTGATTTGTCGTCGCCTCTCCTGGCGCTGTTATATTTTCTGAGAAGTAGTGGGCCTGAAACGGGGTCCACTCAGCCTCGTGAGGACAACTGAAGAACTATTTCAAGGAAATAGCGGCTCCGGTCTAGAATATCGAAATTAACGGCCGTGGGGATCCGTTGCGCTGACAACACGACACCCTCAATCCACTAAAGTTGGCACTAACTTTGCAGATAACCGGCGGTCGCTCGGTCGGTATAGTTCGCTTGCTGACTAAAACCACAATGTTTGTTTTGTTTTTTGTTTGTTTATCGCCTCTTGGAATAGTTGCCTCAAGCGGTTACCTTTAAATGGCTTTAACATAAAGCGGGCCTGCGACAGAACTCACGAAATTCACAAGCCTCAACAACGATTTTAGATGATACAAATTCACAGGCCTCTAACATCAGAAAGTTCGAGCCCGTAAGATGGTGATCCTTAACTAGAAACAACAAGATTTAAGAGCGGTGTCCGCTCCAACCCGCTACTATATTCCTTTTCATGATTAAAAATTAAGAGGAACATGTCTCTTGGGACATAACGCAATGTAGTGCAGTGAAAGTCGACCGACGTTTCGAAAGGACACATTGCAAAAATCTACAGAGTCGATCAGTAAGCTAAAGATTGAACCAGCATGAAGCAGACATAAATCGGAGCTGGTTTTGTGAAATATGCTGACACTTGCATAACATAATATATGCTTCATTGTCCTGATATATGTTGTTACTGTGCTCTAATTAATTTTTAAAATCAGTTACAAGCCCTCAAAGGACTTGGAGGATTCTAAACTGAGTCTTGTTCCCCACTTCTATGTATATTGCTTCGCCTTGTACTTGTACCGCTTCATAACTTGTACTCTTCTCCAATTATAATTAGAATATTCAAGTCAAAGATTATGAGATGAGCAGGGCATGTAGCACGAATGGGGCGAAGAGGAATGCATATAGTATATTGGTGGGAAAAGTAGAAGGAAAGAGACCACTGGAAATACCAAGGCGTAGGTGGGTTGACAATATTAAAATGGATCTTAGAGAGATAGGATTGTATGGTATGGATTGGATTGATCTGGCTCAGGATATTGATCAGTGAAGGGCTCTTGTGAATACGGTGACGAACTTTCTAATTCCATAAAATGCTGAAAACTTCTTGAATAACTGCAGAATTGGTGGCTTCTTAAGAAGAGCTCAATTCCATGAGTAAGTTAGTATAATTACGCATTTCATAAATGCTGGAATATTGATTTACTAGAGCCGAAAGTGAACAGATGGATCAAAAGACAAATAATGAAGGATATATATCGTAAATTAGGTCAAGGTCCTTACAGGATCGGAATTTAAGGAGTAAATAAATAAGTGTAAAGATTGCGAACCTGAACGGAGACCTTTTATTGGAGAGGAAATTCCTGCGCACATGCTCAAGTTCACCCCGTCATTTCGCAGATGGTATTTACAGCTTTATTGGTTCGAAGAAGCCGGAACATTCCATAACCAACAGAAAGCTCATTCGGTTCCCATATCCTCATATGTATGTGTAGGCTGACTGGGAAATTATATTTGGATCCCAGAATGTATTTATAGTTGTCAGAGTTTCTCATTACGTAAACTGGACCGAGAAATATTCTAGACATTTGTAAATTACAGTACGATATCCCTTTTCTTGTTTTGTATAATATTGTTTTACAGCTCGCTTTTGAAGTAACAGCCAGAAAAGTAATAAATTATAATTCAATTAATATATCAACTTCCACACAACTATTATATTGTAACCAGTCAGTTGAATTCTGGCATTTGGAGTGTTGTATTTGTGATACTGCAGATAGC